GGCATTTGATGGCCTGGAATCGGCCTAATGAGATTCTAACTTAGCATTTATTTGCTACCGTAGGCCTGTAGTGTGATCGCCAGGTAGGACACATTGAGCGTTCTCCCCCGGAATTAAAGCCCGCATGCAAAATAGTGACCCCCATCCCTACTTGAAATGGCCCAGGATATGCTGGTGTGTTGTTGGGAATATTTTGCAATGGAAAAAGTGCAAGCTACTGTTTGGGGTCGGGAATGAAAAACAGTGGTAACCATTAATATCTGAGTGTGATAGGTTGACGATTTCAAAAGCAGAAACCACGGACTCAGATTGGTTGAAAGTAAATAGATCTGGTTCCCGCGTCCCACTTGCTCGACTGATTTGAGCACCGTGCGACAAACAAACCTGCCCACCTAGCTCTTCGAAGCAGGGTTCAAGACACGAGAAACAAACCTCCATTGGATGAGGAGAGTTCAATCTCACGAAACAACCCATTGGTGACAAGGACGTGCCCACGACCATTCTAGTTGGGTCCAACTAGAATTTCAAAATGGACCAGGGGTGCATAATGCTCATGAGTGGCGTGACTGACGGTGTCTCAAATGGAGAGAAATCTAAGCGCGCAGCTACGTGTGCACAATAGCGTACGCGACGCGGTCTTGGATTCAATGAGCACGTACGATGGACATTTTGGGAAGTCAATTAGACCTCGAAGGACACTCTCGTCACGTATGCTGACAGTGCCATTAGTTGACTGCCTATGCCATTACAACGCATTGCTTAGTTCCTACCGTGTTATTACTGCTCGAGCCAGGAGGACCGCGCGCTCTAGTAAGGCGACGAAAGGGCAAGGCTCCTGTATTCCCAGGGAGGGGGGACGTGGTGGCGGCCGTCTTGCACTGGTGTTAGGCCACTAGAGGCTACATCAAGGTGCGATATTGACCGCATGCACTATGGGGCTGCAGTGCTCGCGATCAGGGGATCGTCGCGTCATGACGGGTTGCTGTGCTCGCGATCAGCAGCCCGTCGCGTTCAGAACGGGCTGCTGTGCTCGCGATCAGCAGCCCGTCGCGTTATGATGGGCTGCTGTGCTCGCGATCAGCAGCCCGTCGCGTAATGACGGGCTGCTGTGCTCGCGATCAGCAGCCCGTTGCGTTCAGACGGGCTGCTGTGCTCGCGATCAGCAGCCCGTCACGTTCAGAACGGGTTGCGACACAAGCCATGAGCAGGGCCCATCACAGCACACACATTGTACCATCTAACTAGAATAGTGTACTGTCGCTCCCTGCCCGTCGTTTCAGGAGCTAATTTTCGCAACGTGTTGGAGCACAATCAGATTCCGTGAACAATCAAGCTCTTATGCACACCCACTATGGGTCTAACGTTGTGCAGGCCTGCCCTCCTCACCACTCCCCTTCCCTCCCCTCCCCTCCCCTCCCCTTCCCCCATCCATCGTCCCCAAAACCTGGACATGCAGGGGTGGCAGCGGGCCGCTGGCTGCAAGATCAGGGCCATCAACAGCAGGCCTCCTTAGCCCCCCTTTTCCACGCATCGGCCCCCCATGATAGTGCGCAGCAGCTGGCTGAACGTGGCCAAGAAACAGCTCCTGGCCTAATCACAACTGGCCCTCCTTCATCCATCCCTCTCCATCCTGCCAGTTGTGCAGGCAGGGTTGTTTGTGGCATCGGTGGCGGGAGAAAGCGTGCCACCGCTCAGTGTTGGCCCAATATCTATTGCACTCTCACAAGCCTAACTGCGATCCCCCCCTGCTCTCCCTTCCCCTCTATGCCCACCAATCAGGCAGTGGTGTTCGTGGCGGGGGTGGTGGGCGACAAAGGGCCTCTCCCCCCGAGCCCCAAGCTCTATCACCAGGGTTCACCAACCTCTCGCCTTACAACATCACTGTTCCAGCCAGGTAGGCTAGAGTTGCCACCAGTTAGGGTTTCTTGTGTGAGCGGAATGTGAATGTGTGTGCCTTTTGCAGAATGTTAGGGGGGAAGGCGCATCTCACCTTCCTGCAGCACCGTTGCTGTCAGGTGAGCTAGCTGGTGTGGGTTACTGGTTAGCGTGCTTGCCTATGTTGCTGGCAGGTAAGGGACATCTCGCACCCTCACCAACATCTCACCTTCCTGCAGCACCGTTGCTGCCAGGTGAGCTAGCTGGTGTGGGTTACTGGTTAGCGTGCTGTGTGACATGCGTTTTGTATCCATTCGTTACGTGCAGGACTGGGCGACCCTGCATTGCGCAGACCGTTCATGCCGCCAAGGAAACAACATCGGAGCCACAAACTCAAGTAATGCCGCACGAGGTAATGTTTCTACACTCCCCCCTAGAACTTCCATGTTAATATTCTGTGTTCCGCCTGCTGCCCAGCTGATTCGTCTCTCGTACCCCGTGGTCGCCCCACCAGCCTAAAGCCCAGCCCACCCACCAGCCTACCCACCAGCCTACCCACCAGCCTACCCACCAGAATACCCACCAGCCTACCCACCAGCCTACCCACCAGCCTACCCACCAGCCTACTCTCCAGCCTACCCACCAGCCCACCCACCAGCCCACCCACCAGCCTACCCACCAACCCACCCACCAGCCAACCCACCAGCCTACCTACCAGCCTACCCACCGGCCTACCCACCAGCCTACCCACCGGCCCACCCACCCTAGGACCCAAAGCCTGGCCTACCCACCGGCTTACCCACCAGCCTACCCACCAGCCTACCCACCGGCCTACCCAGAAGCACACCTAAGTCATCACCCTGCTCTCCCACCCCTCCCACCCTTCGCATCAGAGTATTCCTCACAACTGCTCTACACCCACAGCCACCTATTGCAACCCCAAACCCATGAGCTGACACACCCTCCGGATTTGCCCTTTTTTGGGGGGGGAGGCGGGGTGGGGGCTTGGAATGGGGAGCATTCTTCAACGTTTCATGTGCCTCCTGAGTCTATGGACGTTTTTGCCAGCTATATTCATGCCTTGCGTATTCGCACCACTGCTGTTTGTTTTTGTTTCCCACAAAACAGGCACGCCCGTCTCGTGTCCCAGCCCGTCAAACAGCCCGGCGTCAACCATCAATAGTCTTGCGTGCAGCGTGCCTATTCAAAACTCTTGGGGGAAGGATGCATGTTGCTAAATTTCATATACTGTCTAGTGATCAGGTATACACACAGTTATCAATCTTATACAACATGCACACAGTTAGCTCAGAATGAGCAATTTTTCTCGCACCCTCACCAACCGTCAATCTCATAGTCTATGACATCTGGTATCCCCCACTGACTAATATAGTGCTCAACGTCCCTAGGCTCGCAATGTTCGTAACAGCCATCACCACTTTCTGGATATAGTGAGCTGATCACGACATATATGAGCCAGGGCAATGGAACCTGTGCAAAAGGATGGTCCACCGAGCAAGTGGGAGTATGTGACATAGCAGCGAAAGCGAGGATTTATGGGCAGCAACGGCTGACCCGTGCAACTGTTGGGCGTATTGCCTCCACAACACACTCGTATAATATTCTCAACAGTCGCCCTCCCATGTTGTAACTCACTCTCATACCTCAACCCAAGCCACTCTGCACCCCCATTGGGGGGGGTGGGGGGGGGGGGGGGGGCGGTGCAGGGGCTGCGTGGGCGACCGCAGGTCGCACGAAAACCATCCGCCACCCCCTCACACCCTCTCCCCCACTCCCCCACAGTAGCAGGTGCAGTCGTGAGAGGGGAGGAGGCGTGGCAGCAGCTGCTGCTGCTGAGGCACATCCGCCACCCCCTCACACCCTCTCCCCGCAGCAGCGGACGCGGCCGTGAGAGAGGAGGAGGCGTGGCGGCAGCTGCTGCTGCTGAGGCACATCCGCCACCCCCTCACACTCTCTCCCCCCCTCCCCATGGGGGGGGGGGGGGGGAGGGGGGTGTGGCAGCAGCTGCTGCTGCTGAGGCACATCCGCCACCCCCTCACACCCTCTCCCCGTAGCAGCGGACGCGGCCGTGAGAGAGGAGGCGTGGCGGCAGCTGCTGCTGCTGAGGCACATCCGCCACCCCCTCACACCCTCTCCCCCCCTCCCCATGGGGGGGGGGGAGGGGGGGGAGGGGGGCGGGGGCGGGGAATGAGATGCGCGTGCGACAGCAGGGCGCGCGACGGGCAGGAACCCGTCGTTCGCCACCCCCATACCCTCCCCCCCCCCTGCTGTACGATCAGCAGGGGGACGGAGGAGAAGGGGGGGGGGGGGTGCAGGGGCTGCGTGGGCGACCGCAGGTCGCACGAAAAACATCCGCCACCCCCTCACACCCTCTCCCCCACTCCCCCCTCAGCAGCAGGCGCAGCCGTGAGAGGGGAGGAGGCGTGGCGGCAGCTGCTGCTGCTGAGGCACATCCGCCACCCCCTCACACTCTCTCCCCCCTTCCCCATGGAGGGGGGGGGGGGGGGGGGGGAGGGGGGCGGGGGCGGGGAATGAGCTGCGCGTGCGACTGCAGGGCGCGCGGGCAGGAAGAAACCGTCGCGCGCTCGAGGCGTGCGACGGGTAGAAACCGACGGGCTAGGGGCCGGGGCCTAGGGGTGTCGAGCGACGGGGCCAGGCCTAGGGGAGCGACGGGCGACGGGGCCGACGGGCCTAGGGGCGTTGGGCGACAGGCCGGGCCTAGGGGAGACGGGCCGTGGCGACAGGCCTAGGGGCGACGGGCCGGGGCGACGGGTCGAGGGGCAACGGGCGACGGGCGACTGGCCGGGGCCGGGGCCTAGGGGCGACGGGCCGAGGGGCGACGGGCTAGGGGCCGGGGCCTAGGGGCTTCGGGCGCGAGCGACGGGCGACGGGGCCGGGGCCTAGGGGCGACAGGCCGGCCTAGGGGCGACGGGCCTAGGGGCGACGGGCCGTGGCGACGGGCGCGGGGCGACGGGCCGGGGCCTAGGGGCTACGGGCGACAGGCCGTGCCGAACGTCGAGAGTAGGGCCGCACGAGGGCGGCGCGCATGGCAGCAGGTGGTGGGCCCAAGGGTCGTAACTTCTCTAATACCATGTTGAAATGACTTAGTAGTGCCTAGGGTGTGAGTGCTAGGCAAGTGTCGAGAGTAGGAAGGGAAAGCAAGGAAAAGATGTTTCACTAAGAGAACAAGGTACAAGATATAGGAGCGAGAGATGGCAAAGGGTGCACCACCTACAGGGACTATAACAGTAACTACACTACAGCTATAACTACTATATGCAGTTATACAGAAATATATATAAAATATATTCTGACACCCCATTGCTCTAGCTTGCTTTGGATACTTTTTTCTCAAATGCAGGCAACGTCCAACACCACTCTGGGTGATGCACTTCGGGTGGTTGACCTGTGCGCCTGCGCACACGTCGGGCCATACCTGGCGGAGGGAGGAAGGTGAGGAATGGGGGGAAGGAAGGTGGGGAAGAGAGGGAAGGATGGTGGTAAAGAGGCGGGAGGATGGTGGGGAACAGGGGGGAGGAAGGTGCAGACCAGGGGGAAACAAGGTGGGGAATGGGGCGAAGCGAGGTGGGGAATGGGCGGAAGGAAGGTGGGGAATGGGGGGAAGGAAGGTTGGGAATGGGCGGAAGGAAGGTGGGGAATGGGCGGAAGGAAGGTGGGGAATGGGGGGCAGGAATGTCAGGAATGGGGGGAAAGAAGGTGGGGAAGAGAGGGAAGGATGGTGAGGAATGGGGGGAAGGAAGGTGGGGAACAAGGGGGAAGGAAGGTGGGGAAGTGAGGGAAGGATGGTGGGGAAGAGGGGGAAGGAAGGTGGGGAAGTGAGGGAAGGATGGTGGGGAAGAGGGGGAAGGATGGTGGGGAAGAGGGGGAAGGAAGGTGGGGAAGTGAGGGAAGGATGGTGGGGAAGAGGGGGGAGGATGGTGGGGAATGGGGGGAAGGAAGGTGGGGAACAGGGGGGAAGGAAGGTGGGGAAGTGAGGGAAGGATGGTGGGGAAGAGGGGGAAGGAAGGTGGGGAAGTGAGGGAAGGATGGTGGGGAATGGGCGGAAGGAAGGTGGGGAATGGGGGGAAGGAAGGTGGGGAATGGGCGGAAGGAAGGTGGGGAATGGGCGGAAGGAAGGTGGGGAATGGGGGGCAGGAATGTCAGGAATGGGGGGAAAGAAGGTGGGGAAGAGAGGGAAGGATGGTGAGGAATGGGGGGAAGGAAGGTGGGGAACAAGGGGGAAGGAAGGTGGGGAATGGAGGGAAGGATGGTGGGGAAGAGGGGGAAGGAAGGTGGGGAAGTGAGGGAAGGATGGTGGGGAAGAGGGGGAAGGATGGTGGGGAAGAGGGGGAAGGAAGGTGGGGAAGTGAGGGAAGGAAGGTGGGGAACAGGGGGGGAGGGTGGTGCGGACCAGGGGGAAACAAGGTGGAAAATGGGGGGAAGCGAGGTGGGGAATGGGGGGAAGGAAGGTGCGGACCAGGGGGAAACAAGGTGGGTAATGGGGGGAAGCGAGGCGGGGAATGGGGGGAAGGAAGGTGGAGAATGGAGTGAAGGAAGGTTGGGAACGGGGGGGAGGAAGGTGAGGAATGGGGGGAAGGAAGGTGGGGAAGTGAGGGAAGGATGGTGGGGAAGAGGGGGAAGGATGGTGAGGAATGGGGGGAAGGAAGGTGGGGAACAAGGGGGAGGATGGTGCGGACCAGGGGGAAACAAGGTGGGGAATGGGGGGAAGCGAGGTGGGGAATGGGGGGAAGGAAGGTCGGGAATGGGGGGAAGGACGGTGCGGACCAGGGGGAAAGAAGGTGGGGAATGGGGGGAAGCGAGGTGATGAGCCGGGGGAAGCAGTGTGGGCACCGGGGGGAGCAAGGTGAGGCACGGCGGGAAGTTCGTCATGGTGCGAAGGGGTAGGCATGGTGGGGATGTGCGGGGTGGTGAGGTGGCAACATGGACTTTGCGAAATGGGGATATCTAGTAAGGTCGAGTTTAGACGGGCGAAATGCCTATTTGTCGCACCAGGCGGTTTGGTCGAGTGTGGGTGGCAGATTGATCGAGTGAGGCGCGCGAATGATTTACCTCACGGCCGCGCCATCGTTATCTAAACAGCCGCAAGTGGCGTATGTCGAACAGTATGCGAACGGTTAGGTCGCGCGAAATGCGGCATGGGCAATTCGGCTGTCGAGATGAGTAGTAATTTGTATCTCAGCTTGGACTCGAGCTGAGGGCATGTTGCGTGACAGCGATGTTCTTCGCAGCAACTGGTTTTGAGCTGCTTGTTACACAAATTGCCCATCACTGACCCAAATCGTGCCTTGGGTTGCTTGGCGATACTGAGCGACGTTGTGAGGGTCGCTGCACTGGGTGTACACCTTCGTGATTTGCTGAACAAAAATTCACTCACGCTCCTGGAGAGTTTTACTCGCTCGGGAGCCCACATATTGTTTTTTTTCCAACACAGCTGTCCCACACATTCAAGTGGCCCCAACTAGAGGGGGGGGGGGGGTCACTATTTTGTATGCGGGCTTTAAGACCCGGGCGAGGGACCTCAATATCCGGAAAAATACGGTTCTATCCAGGAAAATACAATACGGTACCATTCATAATCTATATAAGCACATATGTACACTAATCAGCAGTATGCAACGCAAAGCGAACAGAACAATCACCTCTTAGAGAGGCTGGAAAACTCCACGGCGCGCACCAGCTCGTGCACGCTGACAGGCTTGGAAATGAAGCCATCCATGCCAGCCTGCAGGCACATGGCACGGTCTGTCTCGAGCACATTGGCTGTCATGGCGAATATCTTGGGCCTCTGGCTTGGCGGCCACATCTGCGTTATGCGCTGTGTTGCCTCGATTCCATCCATCACTGGCATCTGGACAAAGGGAGATGGTCAGGGGAAAGGGGAATGAATGGAACAAGGGAGAGTTCAGGAGGCCAGATCTTGCTAAGCATAACAGCATAAGGGTCTCCGAACCCCCATCCACCCCACAAGAAAAGGAGAACGGGTAACAAAGGAAGAAAGGAGGCCAAGGAGGACGGGATGCAGCACCTCGCTTTTGAGGAGGAGTGCGGTACCTGAACGTCCATGAAGACAAGGTCAAAGGAGTCTTTCTGCAGCGCCTGCAGCACCTCTGCTCCGTTGACTGCCACGTGGCATGTGTACCCCATGCGCCCCAGCATCTTAGTGGCCACCTTCTGGTTCACCAGGTTGTCCTCACTGTGAGAAAGAAGCAGAAGAAAGGGGATGGAGGTGTGAGAGGGATTCTACACATGAGTGATAGAGGGGCTGACATGATAGAGGGGCTGACATGATAGAGGGGTGTACATGAGTGACGGAGAGGGCGTGGGGAGATGAACAGGGAGTTGGGGGATCCTAGTGAGGGATGGAGCAGGTGAGGAGTGATCCTGAGCAAGGAGAATATTTAGGTGGTGATGGTGCTGTGATGGAGTAAGAGAGAGGGGAGCGGAAAGGGGATGGGTAAGAATCGAGGGGCAAGAGGGGGTGTTCGTACGCAAGGAGTATGTTGAGGGGGTGCTGCTGTGCCAGCCCTGACTGGAAACCTGCTGCATCCACGCCTGCCTTCGCTGCCCCCCGTCCCCGCACTCTCCTCCCTCCACCACATGCTCCTGCCGTTCCTCCACTTGTTGGCACTGCAGCAACTGGGGATGGCACTTCTGATGCTCCTGCAGCAGCTGTTGCTCTTTCTTCTGCTCCTGATGCTGCCATACTTGGCATTGCTACTGCTCTTTCCACTGCGCCTGCTACTGCTGCTGCTCCTTCTGCTGCCGCCGTCGCTGCTCCTTGCCTTGCTCCGGCTCGTGCTTTTACAACCGTGCCTGCTTCTGCTGCGCACTCTCCCGTTCTGCTGCTCACTACCGCATCAACCTCTGCTCTGGTTGCAACCCAGCCTGCTAACACAGCTTCGGCAGGCTCCGAACCAACCGCACGTTCGGAAGAGCGAGCAGTCAGGAGGAGGTTCGGCAGCGAATCCCTAAGATCGGTGCGGCAGCAGCGCGAGCTGCCTTCTCCACTGCCCTGGTTACCACAGCGTGTGTGGTTACCACACTGGATACGGTTACCACAGTTATTCTGTGAACATTCGTTGCTGCTCACACTGACAGCACTAGCCATTCCTCTGGTGGAGCGTCCGTGAGGGGAGTGAGAGGGGAGTGAGGGGCGGTGGGAAGAGAGGGAGGCGAGAGGAGATGGAGAGAGAAGGTCACAGACAAGGCGGTTAAGGGCGGTTTGGCGGATGGGGTAGGTGAGAACAGCCACGTGGCATCCTGGGATTGGGGGGGAGTCTTGCCTGCTGCCATAGGGCACGAGCAGAATGACCTTGGCAGGGGTGGTAGCGCTGTGAGGGCCAAGTGCGTCTGTCAGGAGGGGGAGTGTTGTAGGCACTGCAGCTGTTGCAGGGTGCGCTGGTGCAGGCTGTGTTGGTGCAGGCTCATTTCTACACCCTTCCGGCGATGCTCTAGCGAGTGCCATATGCTCAGTTGCTCCTGCTTGCCCTGTGTGTGCTGCTGCTGGTCCCAGGGTTGCCACAGTGCCCGGCGGTGCACGTGCAGGGGGAGACCAATGCAGCCCCGCATCCACCACGAACAGGTTGAACTCCTTGCCCTCCTCGCGCCCCTCCTCCCCATCACTGCCACAACGTCTCCCCTCCTCCCCACCTGTGCCACCAAACTCCCCTCCCAGCACCACCACACCCTCATCCATCACCCTATCCGCCTCCTCCCCGCTGCTCGCCTCACCCACTCTAAACCCAAGGGACGCCAGGTGTCGGCATACCATTCGCCGTGTGCTTGCATGGGGCAGCACCACCAGTGCACTCCTCCCCTCTGCTCTTCTCCTCGATCTCTCCCAACCAGCAACTGCTGCTTCCACCTCATTCGCTCCCTCACTCACTCCCTCACCTCCCTCCTCCACTCCCTCCCCCCACCTGTCGCTCTCCCTTCCCCTCACAGAAACCACCTCCTCACTCCTCCCATCTCCCCTCGTCGTTTCACCTGGGTCCCCTCGCCCCTCTTCTGTTCCACCTTTCCTCCACTCCATCCCCCCCACTATTAAAGCGCACCCCTCCCCTCCAACCCTGCGACCGCTGCTGCTACAACGGGTTTGAGTGGCGCATTTACCATCCTGTCTCCCACAGCCTTTATCTGCTGCCCTCCCACTCTCGCCCTCTGTCTTCCTCAGTGTCTCCCCTTCACTAGTCAAAACCCCATCCTTCCAGCAGCAGCAGCAGCAGCACTGGCAGGAAGAGCTGCAGCAACAGGCAGCGGCTGCATATCTCTTGTCTTGACTTGGCCCTTGCGCGACCGCTGCTGCTACATGCGGCTCCACTTCCCTCTTGCGCTTTCGCAACAGGCCAGCAGCCGCAGCAGACAGAAGCGGAACAGCTGAAGCAGCAGGAGCAGCAGGGGCAACAGCAGGAGCAGCAGGGGCAGCAGGGGCAACAGCAGGAGCAGCAGGCGCAGCAGGTGAAGCAAGAGATGGATGAAGAGCAGGGACAGCAGACAAAGAAGCAGTAGCAGCAGCAGCTTCATGTCCGTGGGACAGCAGAGCAAGTGAAGCAGCAGCAGAATCAGGAGGAGCAGGCGACCTCCGTTGAGCCTCAACAGGAGTGTTTAGGTCAAAGGGTAGGGCGGGTGCGGTGATGTAGAACCTGAAAGTGGACCCGCGCCCCTGCCCGTCGCTCTCCGCCCATATGCGCCCTCCCAGCATGCCCACCAGCTGGTGTGAAATCGCCAGGCCCAGCCCTGTGCCTCCGTACTTGCGCGTCATGCTCACATCCACCTGCCACACGCACACAACACACAGAGACAAGATGCTTCTGAGCCGAATGATTTATTGAGTCAACTGGTCACGAGGCCCAGCCCCGTGCCTCCATATTTGCGCGTCATGCTCACATCCACCTGCCCCACGCGTACCGAGAAGTACGGATTTCGAGCCAATAAGAGGTTTGAGAGGTTCGTTTGGGTGAGGCTTGAAGGAGTGTGGGATGAGAGCGGAAGAAGTGTGGGATGAGAGCGGAAGGAGTGTGGGATGAGAGCGGAAGGAGTGTGGGATGAGAGCGGAAGGAGTGTGGGATGAGAGCGGAAGGAGTGTGGGATGAGAGCGGAAGGAGTGTGGGATGAGAGCGGAAGGAGTGTGGGATGAGAGCGGAAGGCGACTCGGGCGAAAGGCAGCTGAGAAAAACATGTCGACGAGGTAGCTGCCAGAGCAGGCGATGCTAAAATCACTTTTGAGAATTCTCAATACCATGTGGACGAGCTCGCTACTAGCTGCCAGAGCAGGCGGATTCAGCCAGGCGAGCCTTACGAATAGTGGAGTGGGAGTGGTGAGAAGAGCAAGCGCACCTGGCTGAACGGCTTGAACAGTCGCTTCATTCGCTCCTTGGGAATGCCGATTCCCGTGTCCCGCACACTCACTGCGATGCAGTGAACACCATGTCTCTCCATGCCCTGCGTCTCCTCCCCCCTCCACCTCCTCCTGCTACTCACCGCCTTGCCCCACACTGCAAAACCACTGTGTGCGGAATCCCCAGGGCTCATAACTCCGCCCTTGATGCTAATTCCCTCCTCCTTTGCCTCTTCCTGTTCCTGTTCTTCCTCGTGCATGCCTCCGCTGCTGTCTTCCATGCGCATGTCTCCCCTGCCTCCATCTGTTTGTTGCTTTGCAGACTCTTCCAGCAGCTCTGGCATGTGCTGCTCCGAGCTGCCAGGCAGGCGGGTGGCAGAGACGGTGACCTCCACCTCGCCCCTCTCTGTGAACTTAATAGCGTTCGATATCAGGTTCACAAGAATCTGAAACGGGGAAGAGGAGAGACGGGGAGTAAGGAGGAGTGGGTTCATGCGAAACACGTGAAATCGACTGGCTGAACGTGGAATCGATGACATTGAGGAAGAAATCGGTAGCGTTATTAGGCATCAATTTCTTAACGGACACGCACGTGCCGTGGCGTTATTAGGCACGGCACAGCACGGAATCAACAGCATCGGACATGAATCTGATGGCATTGAGTATGAAATCAACGGCAACGAACATCAAACAGACAAGATATAAGCATACGCCTCGACACGCTGTGTTCTCCTCACGTGTACCTGTCTCAGTCTCGCAGAGTCGCTTCTGACCACCCTGGGCACGTTGGGCTCCACAAAGCTCACCACAGCCACTCCCTTCTCCATGGCCCGGATCTGCTTGCGCAGAGGGAAGGAAAGCCACGGGAAGGGAAAGAGACAGTGTATGAGGCGCCTCAGAAGTAAGTTAATAGCACTCACCACAGCCACTCCCTTCTCCATGGCCCGGATCTGCTTGGGAAACGGAGATGTGCGGTGGGGAGTGATCAGAGCAGAGAACCAAGCCGAGGTGTGGGCGTTAACAGATTGACACAGATTGTTTGGAAGAGTGAACGCAGGCCGATGCATGTGTCAATGTGTGCACAAGAGTGAACGCAGGCCCATGCATGTGTCAATGTGTGCACAAGAGCAGCAGGTCATGCACAGGAAAGAGGAGAACAGGCAGAGAGCACGCCAGACACGGCATAGGAGAGGCCCACACGGGGCATAACTAAGCCATAAATGAAGCATGCGAGTGGGAGCACAGATGCACGAAAGGGTCACAGAAGTAGCGGGATGTAATTTTGAGACGTCTCAAAACCAGAAGTAGCGGCATGTAACAGCAGTGTACGGCAAGCAGCGAGACGGCGTCCTCGAGGCAGCGGCAGAGGTCAAAGTCAGGGTGGTGCTCTAGGTCGAGAAGAGAGGCGAGCGAGAAGGAATCATGTACAAGCCTACAAGGTATGTAAGAGGAGTGAAAGATGCAAGAAATGGGCACAGAAAAAAAACGCATGAGGAGCCTACAGCAAGCAG